CAGGGCGCGACGAGGGCAGAGAACGGCGAGACGCGGCTGGAGATCGTCCCGGAGCGCCGGGACAGCGTCCTCCCGACCGTGACCCGTCAAATGGCCCGGGAGAGGGGAGGGTAAAGACCTGAGGGAGAGGAAGAAGGAGGGAGATAGAGGCGAGGCGTGGACGGTGGGCTGCGGAAGTTTTGGCTTCGACTTGGCTTACTTATAGGTTTGACTTCTAATAGGTTTGACCCGGTTGGGGCATGGCTTAGTTTGCTGGTATGGGCGTAATCGTGCTTTTGGGAATCGGAACGGTCGTGGAGAACGGCGTGGCTGGAAGCATTTCCACTAACTCAAGGTCACGTTTTGAGTACTTCTGCTTACTTTCGTGCAGGCTCACCTTGGACTGGAAGTCGTAAAATTTAAACAGGCAGTTCATATTCTTCTTTATTATGCTTTATCCATAAGCTAGATGGGGCATCATTTGAGACGACCAGGTGAAATTTTCTCTGTGCTCATGACTGGGCCGCTTAAGTAAGTATAACCTCGTGGAGCAAGCCCAGTTTGCTTGGAAGCGTTGCTTGCTTGGAAGCGTTGCAGCGCTGAACACAATCACCATCTGTCCAAGATTAGGTCAGGTTTGTCACCTCATTTTTGTTCCTTCTGGAATCCTTCGTTCTGGACCAGCAACTAAGCTGAGAAAAGTCTGGAGAATATTGTAGAGCAGACTCACCATAATGAACATTTGGCCGTGGCCGTGAGCTTGTACGATTGAATTGGTGGTACATAGCTCACATTGGGCTTGACATTTGCACGTTGTGTGGTCGGATTCGCTCAGTAATGACGTCATCACTCGTTCTGTGATCTTGCATTCAAGAAATCGTTGCATTCACCACGATTTCTTTATAGGCGCCATTCATGCCCATTTCCTGGGTGGGTAAATGCTGCCGGTTCTCCGCCCTCCCTGTTCTCCCTCTCTCGTTCTATACGTCGTCCAATCTTTCCGTTCTCCCTCTTGTGCATCATTTCCGGCGGGCAGATTCCCTCGCCCTCCTTCCTTTCTGTGTCTCCCTTCGTGTCTTCATCCGTTCCCGCCTGACACGTGACGGCCGGGCCCGCCGGCTGGCCGCCCGTCCCGTCCCGGCGCTCTCCATCCTTCCACCGCTGCCGCTGCCGCGCCGGCCGCGTCTCATCGATCGACGACCGCTCGTCGGGCCGGGTACGCACCGCCGCGCCGCAGCGGTCCGGCCGATCTGGGCACGGCCCACCGACGCGACGCGCCGGTCCTCGCGACGGCCGCAGCCCGGCGCTGCGGGATCTGCGCGGCCGCAGGAGGTGTAAATGTTTGTCTCTCTTTAGGTTAGCAGGCCAGTTCGTGTAGGACTGTGGCAATGCTGGGTCAGGGATGGCTCCCACTGGGGCAGGTGCCTATTGGATGAGGAGATGGTGCACATTGGGTCAAGACGTTGTTGTTAGCATCAGGTGTTAATTGAGCTTGTAGGGAATCTACGCCCACGCCTTCGTAATGAGTGGTGTGGCAACAAAACGAAAATAATGACGGTACTGCTCTAGCTAACTATTACATGGTCATTGGTCATGTACAGTTGCTTGCTTTCTTTTTGTCATTTCTTGGGCAAGAAGTGCTGTATTTTGTTCAAGTGCATCGCATTTTCTAATGCTTAAAAATCGATGCCGCGATCTGTCGGAAGCGTTGGTCGTATGTCAGGGTCGCTCGTCGGTGCGGATCTCGGGCGACGGTCGTCACGTGCTGGCCCATACCGCCCCGTCATTTGTTCGTATTCCGGTGACATGCTGTCGCCCCGGGGCTTAGCCGTGTGTACCGCGTCTGCTGCGGTCAGCGCGGTGGCTGGGTGCCAGAGGAGGTGCGGCGCGGGGAAGGCGAGGGGAGGGTCTGCAGAGGACAGTGCAGAGGGGAGGGCGACTTCCGGAGGTGCTGTCGCATTGCAGGGGTGGCTTTTTGTTCAGTTGATCATTTGATGGTGTGTGTTTTTGGTTATTGTACCCGATAACTCCTACGAATTTCGTCGATCTGGACACTGTGGAGTGTGGATAGTGTCATAAAATAGCTTGCCTCTGCAGTGATGAAACAATGTAATTTTATCGTTTAATTGTACCATGGCTCTTCAAAGTTATTTTTCTTGAAGGTTGCATCCCTAATTTCTTCATTCTGTTGAGACCTTTGGAACTGAATCTGATTTTACTCGGAAATGAAGGCGAGATATTGGGTCTTATTGCGTGTCATTAAAAGTCGGATGAGGTCCTCATCGAAAAACAAGCCTTTGAAGTTCACGACTATCCGGTATTTTTTAGCCGGGTTTCGTTTTCATTACGACTATCGATGCCAGATCACTTCCTTGAAATCTATAAATAGCTCAATCGCAAAACGATTCACAATTCGTCTCCGTTCCTTGTCGTGACTAGACTTGGAGCTTGTAACGTTTTTGTCTGCCCAGGCCCCAGCTTTCCAAGAACTCCGGAGAGCTAAAAACCTGCGGGCTTCATG